TGTCACCCTCTCCAGTGGACTTGACTACTTCGGTGGAATTACAACAAGAACTAAAACATTCTAAAAATTTATGAAATTTTCCGTCATGCTGCTGCCATTCTGACACTCAATAATATAAGAGTGAGAAGTCAAATGAGATACTGGCGTAAGAATCATCTACAGCTCCCAGGCATTGACAACTCTTATGGAGTATTGGCTGCACAACTCAATACTCAAAGGTATTCACCTCTTCGATGGTATGGATATGGAGCATTGGAAGTAGAATTATCCAACGAGGGTCAGCCTTCCGACGTTTTAGTTATGACAGATCGAGAGACCCTAAGGATATTGCAAGATGAACCCACCTCATCAATTGCAGTCGTCACCAGTGACAAGATGATACCTACCTTGATTCCAGTTGAGGAGACTATGATTGTGATGAAAGTCACCGAGGCAAAGGTAATTTCTCTTTTATCTTGTCTATTTATAATCGTTTTTCTATTACATCACCATTATGACTTGCAATTGTTTTCAAGTGAGGCCATTATATCGATATTTCTATCACATAGTGAAACTCATGGTAATAATAATGTCTTCAATAGGTCTACTCAGTGATGTGGATGTGCATTAAAACAAGATCTGAAGATGCTTATGGAGCTATTTGACTCAAAATAAAAGCGATCTTTGGAGACGAAACGACACATGTGTTTGCAAATTTTGATTCATTGCTCCATGAAAAACTCAAGGAGCAATATCAATCTGTGAAAGGGACTCTATACAGCCACATCTCAGTAAGTAGCATTTTCATTTTCATTTATGTTTATGTGGTGCTGCTGTGTATTTTCATGTTCTTTTCTCAAATTGCACACAACATTCATTATTATTAACTCTTCCTCTGGTCATTAAACCATGGCCGTCAGCCAAATATTGATGTGCTGCATAAATTCTGAGTATTAATGTTCACTTTAACTTTGAATTTCAGATTATCAATTCAAAAGCGATTCAGATGAACATCGACACACGTAATACAGACAATGTTGCAATTATTACCAGATTGGCAGCATTACCCATCCTCCCCCCTGACAAGATTATCAGTAGTTATAAAACAGAAATTTGCGACGAATTGACACAGGAGAAGAAGACTGAGCTGGAAGGATTCCTCAATTATTATGAATCAGACTGGATTAAATCCGTTGGACCTGAGGAACTCAGTTGTTACCAGAATTCCAGTGCCATCAATGCTTCTCAGCGATCTATATTGCAGATTTTGGAATCATTCGTTAAAAAGGACCGCACTTTCTGGAAATTCATGGGTATGTTTTTTTTCTCCCAAAAATTTGTTATCAAGACAATGAAGAAATTACCACTCATATTTCAAACATAATTATTGTTTTGACTTCCCAATTATTTAATCAAATGGAATTCATTACTATTGCTGAGACAAAATTGCAATTATTAAAAAAAAAATTTTTGTTTATTTTCAACGATTCGATGAAGTTATTTTCTTTATTTTGATGCTAATTTCATTTCACCAATCCACGTTCATTATTTAAAAATTAAGTTGACAAAATGCACTAAATGGATGTGCTAACATGCGCTTATATGGGAGAGAATCTTTTGAATATTTTATCTTTTTGCCCGGGTACCCCAAATTTTCATCTGGTCATTCGATTCGGTATAGTTTTGCACATTACCTTCTATTTTTATTCATTTTTTTAGAGTCTTCTAGTAGGTGAATTATCAATTTCAAGATAAATCCCATAAGAGCCCGTGTATAAGGAAAAATTCGTTTATTTATTTCTGTTAAGACTATTGCAATTAATTTGTTTTAAATGTTGAAAAAGTTAGTTTCATATGTTCTGTTACTAGCAAAAAAAAAATCAGAAATTTCCTTCGATATGAAAAAATCCAATTTTTGCAAAAAATGTCTGAAAATCATTCATTTTTTACTTTACTTGGTTTCTTTTTTCAATTTTTTTAGAGAGAATTATCCAATGCCAGGAGAAAATACACAAAGAATTGCGAGCACGCCCACGATCCGTATCGCACCCTTTCACTCCAAGAGTTTATTTCCTCGCTGAGGAACATGCCTCCCTCAAAAAACATTGGGATAAGTATCAATATAGTACAATCGATGAGAAACGACTTCTACAAGTAGCTGCATACTATGTGAAGAAAAGTGTTGCTAACAGCCTGAAATCGACAAATCAGCACCCCAGGAATTATGACGTTATTCAGGGTGAAGGCTATGAACAACATGGTATGTTTCACTTTCATTTTTATATGTTTACTTATTATTACCGAAAATTCGATTCCGTTCTAATTCTTCCTTTTATCAATTTATTTTTAGCTCAGCTTGGTACTATTTTCTCAGAGAGAGCGCCAGCATTAATTCTTCACGACCTCTTACCGAGGGTTCATCCTCATGCCCGAAGAGTCCGTATTGACCAGCGAGTTGGTGCACGAAGGCAACCTGCCCGAGGAGCCCCCGCACAAGCAGTACCTGCTCGAGGAGCCCCTGCCCGAGGAGTACCTGCCCGAGGAGCCCCTGCCCGAAGAGTGCCTGTCCAAGCAGTACCTGCCCAAGCAGTGCCTGTTCGAGGAGTCGCTGGACGTAGAGTTGCTGGACGTCGAGTCGCTGGACGTAGAGTCGCTGGACGTAGGGTCCCTGGACGAAGAGTGCCTCTACATAAAGCGCCTGTACGTGGGGTACTTGCAGGTAGAGTGCCAGGACATCGACAACCTGGAGTAATTCCAGATGGAGTAGGTGATGAGGTAATTCCAGGTGAACAACACCAGAATGGAAGCGAAGACAATGTAGCTGCTCGTATTGCTGGTGATGAAGCTCCACCTCTAAACTTAGTGGATAATGTACAGCAACAGAACAGAGGCCTGGTCAATATAGCTGCAGATGCAGTAGCAAGGAATGAACGTGATGCTCAATATGAGCAAAATTTGAATGTCAACGTTCGTGTTGCTCCAATCGAGATCGTAGACGATGATCCCATTTTCGTGGACGATGAGGGCAATGTATATTTGGAAGGTAGTTGTCATGGTCATAATAATGGAGTCTGAAGTTTTTATTATTTTATATGTTATAAATTATTTTCCCCCACTTTGAGAGGATCAAATCTTCAATCTCCCTGAAGATGACTACGGGTATCTTGAGAGTCCCAACGTGGAGGCGATAGTAGACTTCCAACCTGTTCCAGATAATGAAGAGATGGAGCAATTGGAAAGAGAGGCAGAAGAACGTCTGCAACAGAATATTGGAGGGATTTGTCTGTGCTGCCATACCAATCGAGTAAACTTCCTCTTCCTTGACTGCAGACATAGTGTCATGTGCACTCCATGCTATAATGAGGGGCGAGAACATCTGGTTGACGATGTAGACCTTTTATACTGCATTGTATGTCGCAAGCTAGTCAGCAGAGTTATAACTGACATCATCATATAATAATCGTGAAATTATTGTCCCCATGATCTACGTTAATTTTGAAGGGAATAATTATCCCCACTGAGTTCCAAATTACTTATTCTTGTGATGAATATTTCATAAACCAATTCAAGACTTTTCAATCATGGAATATGAATTTCATGACTTGAAATGATGAACGATTCCAAAGAATCCTGAGAAGAGCTCAATGTTTTTTTAATTATGGAAATTAATTTTGATATTGTTCCAAATCATTGAAATTATTGGTTTATTAAATATTTCGAGTAGATAAGCTAATCATTCACCATTAAAATGGAAAATTAAAATATCTGATCCTCTATAAAAAAAAATAATGGAAGCAATGAAGAGTGCATAGTTTTCGTTAAAAATTGATAGCTAAATTGTTGTTTTTCTTCAAGGATCGTATCCCGTTATAAAAAAAATCGATAATTTGAACAATGGAATGAATTTTTTCTCAAGTTAGTGTACTCCCCCATTGGGGCCAATGATATGCGTCATATTCTCTATTATCTGATAATACTAACAATAGGCTCACAAATGTTCTTAGAATAGTTTTAAAAAAGAAGTTGTTTCATTGGATTATTTAATAGTTAATAATTTACAAAATTAAGTTAATCATTTTGATGCTATGAAGTTTATGCGCTTTATGATTACTCTCTCTGTTTAAACATTCCCACTTGGTAAAAAAAAAATCAAATTGCTGTTCTATTTATTGAATGATTAGGCGTTCTCACCACTTATCAACATCTCCATTTTTTTATCCATTCTTTTAAAATAATCCCGCGAACAAATACAATTTCTTCCATACACTTGTAATTCCATAACTTTCGATTAAATAAATCGATTTTTTTAAAATTGATTCTTCGAATGACTTTATGATGAATCAATTGTCTATTCATTATTAGCCGTCTGCGAGCTGAAAAAAGCAACATTTCTCAATAGTTTCTCAGCTGAAATGTCCATAAGGTTCATAAAATGCTCTCATTATTTAAGCTTTAACATTGGGTATGATATTGAATATGTCTATAAGCTGAGGAAGTCTGAATTCACAGAACTTCTTTCTTAGTATGGGTATATAAAAACGGTTCTGCTAATTTCATGATTTCATTCTTTAATTTTCTTAATAATAATTAATAGGCTCAAGGAATGTAATGTTTATTCCTTTCAGAATATAGCACGCCAATTTATAAACTTTTGCAAAGGAGCTAACTGAATTTCATTTTAATAATACAGAATCATGTATTACCTTCAGAATTCTGTAATTGTCATTTATATGGTTGCGTTAATAAGTTTCATTTTCTTTCATGATATAATTCTTCAAAATTAATTATCAACAATCTTTAAGAGGAGAAACTTGGGTTTAAGTATGGAAAATATACAGCAAAAAATGAAGATTTGAGTAGAATGGGGGCAATTCAGCTGCGTCCGTCGTATTTCGTCCCCACTCTTCTTCGCCATTTTGTCCTATAGTACGGAAGCCAAACCCTGAAAGAACTGAATCCGTCCAGTCTTCAATCGACCGCCCGAGTGTTAACTTCCGCTTTGGAACAGAGATGAAAAATCAAGGTGTTGTTGTCGAGAAAGTGTGAGAGTTTGTGGATTTTTCTTCTGTGATGATATGCTGTTAATTAACTACATAATAAACAATGTTTCATCATCGAAAAAGTGGTGAAAAATTAATAGAGCGTGATGGAATATATTATCATGTGAAAAGTACAACGAAAGATGGAAAAAAGTGAGATGCAGTTGATTAAAACTACTGAACAACTGATATTGTATACAATTGTACAACGATTTCACTCTTTTATTAGATATCTGATATGCAAAGGGTCCAATGGAGAGTTTCGCTGTGAAGCAAAGGCAAATTTAATAGCATCTGGACAATTCACATTAACAGAGGGCCATTTGTGTGAGAAAGATGAGAATCATAGATTGATTTATGAATTTGAAGAATTATTACATGCGGAAGTACAAAGGACTTCAACCAAAAGATTGAGATCGATTTATGATGACGTCGCATTCAGGTATATGTGTGTCATGATAAAAGAAAAAAATAATAATAGATTTAATATAAAAGTCTAACGAAACAAAATGCTTGTGCTAAATTGATATTCAACATCAAAGACATTCAACTTCATATCATTGTTATTCGCAGTTATCCAGAAGCAAGTATTGTATGCCCTCTATTATTACTGTTCACCACTTATCGCCCTTTTTCTTCTGTCGAACACAAAATGAAAGAATGGCTCCGAGAATCTCGACCACCCCAACCGCATTCACTACCTGATGTTGCTCAATTAGCGAATGACATTCGCTGGAGAGAAAAATATACTCACTATAACGGTGGAGTTATGAGCATAATTATAGTGCGAGGTGGAAATAATTGCAAATCTGTTATATTTACTGATATGGACATGATACGATCTCTCAAACCGCAAGAGTTATTAATTGACACAACTTTTCGGGTATGCCCGAGGCGTCTGAAAATACATCAGTGCCTCACAATCATGGCAAAAATTGATGATACGGTAGGATTTGATCTAATTAACCCACGCTCGACTGAGTTTGTTGCATACGTTGCATTATTTTTGTTTTTTCAATCAACTGTTTTTATACAGGGTGTTTCAGAAGTACATGTACATCTGAACACCATAGGATCAGGGGGTGATTCTGAGCAGAAAAGTCCTCTTGCACTTTTTGATCAGACTCACCCCTAAAAAGTGATTGGCAATTAAGGGTGGGCCAATGGGGAGTGATTTTTAAGCGGGCGCACATCCATGTGATATGCAGCANTTTTGTTTTTTCAATTCAAAAATTCATTCCTCCGACCCTAACTGCGACTAAGGGATGA